TATAAGACTCGGAATCCACCAAATTTTATTGATCACAAGATGTCAAGAGTTGACAAGCTAGATGGATCGAAGATCGCCATGCAAAGGTGTGAAAGCCTTCGTGATGAGATCACAAGCGTAAGTCTAAGTGATTCCACACAAAAACAGAGACTCACACGAATGTAGAGTGAGGGAATCCACACAACACTCAAGAACTCGCACGAATACAAGAGAAGTGAATCCACACAACTCAAAGTAAACAAGAACACAAAAGAACAAACTTTTGTAAAAGAAACTTAAACGTTTTTTGATTAATTCATTGGTGAGTATTACAAGGGAAATGAGTGAGCTTATATAGATCTCATACACGTTTTTACAAAGCTAATAAATCAAATATTTAACATGAATAAGAAAGCAATCAAAGCCTTGATTGACGTAACTTTTATTGCTTGATTTTTGGCCAAATGAAGGAAATATGAGGTTCTTTGTATCTGGACAGCTTGGGCATGAAGTAGTGACGTCTTGGATGTCTCTTAATGGTGTATAATGTCTCCATTCTGTCAAAAACAAATAAATCGAAAAGATATACCCATTYGACTAGATTTGACGTAATTGACTCRAYATAYGGAAAGTTGAGGRGTGAAGAGATCCARTTGATTTCATGCTTGCTGGTGCACTTTAATGACTTCTCAAGAACCTCTAGAAGAAATATAAACTCTCCTGGATGCCATACACGAATCCTCAAAGTGACAAATATGGAAAGCCCATCTTTTGATAGGTTTAATGTCTCTTGGATTAACTGCCGGTTTGTGAGCTGATTTTAACCGAGCTGGACAAGGTCCGAGCTATTCTTGGATCCTTGATGTGTCAAGAGTATGGACCAAGTCGGATTTTGGCTTAGTTCTTTGTGGCTGGGCCGAAATTCTTCAAGAGATGTCCATATGTCTTTATCGGACCTTTTGAACTCCTCTTGATTGTTTCTTGTTTTTAGGCATGGAGAAGAGATCTCCAGCTCATGCAATACTTCCTTAGCTTCATGGTTCAATGCTGGTTTGATATCCGCATCATACTCTCCCTCTTGACAAGGTTTTGTCCTCAAAACCAAGACATTAAACTTGTTATCGAAGTGTGAATCCAATGGATCCATAATTTCAGCACACAAAGTTTTCGCCTCAACAAAATTTAGCAGTTTGATCATTTGAATAAGAGCATTTTGATTAGCCATCTTTGGTTGTTGGTAAAAAGCAAATAGGATGGGTAAAATTTCTTTAATTTTCTTAAAA